CATTGTGTATAATAGTTTTAACATTCATGTTGCAGTGCAGTATAAGAATTGGGAAAAGAGGGAATCCAAAAATTAATTCAATGTATTACATGTATTATAGTATTATTTTGTTATTACAGAAAGGAGATACTGCTCTTATTGTATCAGCAAGAGGAGGAGACTATGAGACTGTAAAAGTACTGCTGGATAATGGAGCTGATCTAAACATACACATGGACCCAGACTATGTGAGTATATACATTGTGTACATGAACCTCATAGTATAATTTACATGTATGCTGACAATGCGTACTGCATGTTCATTAATACATGTACATGTACATTGTATTAGCAGCAAGTATGAAAAGGATGGATAAAATTTAAATGACAAATATTGTATTAATTTGCAAATGACACCCACCAATGAACAATAAGCTTTTGTGACTCAGTTTAGCAGTCCTTACTTGATTAATTTAACTTTTTCATTTCTACACTTGTGCTTGTAGTTGTAGCCACTGACAAGTAGGCTTGTGTGTGCTATGTTTGTGTTTTATAATGTTCAGTTCATATCCATTAACATTATGTTAACATGTTAAACTACACCCATTGTTATTAATTGCAAATTATTCATTTTTATCATTTAAATTATAATAGGTATGTGGTACTATAGCACTGATGGCAGCAGTAAACAATAAACATCATCATGTGGTGGAACTTTTATTGACCAAAGGAGCTGATCCAAATATAACAGATAATGTAAGTATGATTACTGTATGCACAAAATACGTACATTCATACGTTTATACACTCATGATGTAAGATTCACTATCAGTTAATAACAGCATTGTACATGGGGCTTGAAATAGAATTGAAGCCTAATATCCAATAAGCAACACTTGGCTCTATTTGTGGCTACTTTGATCTTGTAATCAACTTGTAGATTTCTATTTTTAGATTACAAGATCAAAGTACATGTAACTACAATTTTTGCTAGTGTCTAGTGTATGAAGGGCTTAACTTGTACTGTATACATGTACATGTACATGAAGCTGGTAATTTTAGAGGGAGCTATGTATGTGAAAAATTGCTAATTTTTTTATTTACAATTTTTAATTATGTGAATTTTTGATACAAAATGATGCATTTTGATTTTGGCAAATGGCTAAGATGAAAATTTTAAATTTGCTAAATTTATGTCCTTCCAAAATTACCAGCTACAGTTGTATTGGCATGTAGTGTATTTATGATGCAGTATGCTATTCAAGTATATGTATAATTTACTTTATTATTACAGGAAGGAGATATTGCTCTTATTGTATCAGCAAGAGGAGGAGACTATGAGACTGTAAAAGTACTGCTGGATAATGGAGCTGATCCAAACATAGGCCAAGAATGGGATGATGTTAGTACATAATATCATTTACTTGTACATTAGAATTACAGCAAGCATGATAAGGAATTTATGAATTTACTGTCCTTCATGTCATATTAATTTCCCTTATTATCATAACTCACTATAATACATTTTAATTACCATTTATGTACATGTAGTTGGTTATTTTCATGGGTTGTGATTTGCTCCTAGTTAATTTGTGCATGGTTTTAATTTTTGTGCTTGACAGTTTTAAGGAAGTGGCACTTAAATGATTTTATAGGTGGTAGGCGCTAATTTATTATTTATAATTTTTTATTATAGCATACTACAGCACTGATTGAAGCAGCAAGAGAAGGACATATTAATGTAGTTGAAATATTATTATCCAAAGGAGCTGATCCAAACTGTATAGATGAAGTGAGTATAAGTACATGTACGTGACAATTAATAACATTTTGTTAAAATAATATTGTAATTATATACAAGTACATTATAGATACATGTACATGTAGATGTACTGTATTTGCTTGAATGAACACCCTCCCAAATAAACACCCATGACTTACATTTATATTTTCCTACTGTACAATGTACATTCTAGATACACATATTTTGCCCATTATACTGTTGTTTCTGTCTTTCTTTAAATTCTAAGTACCATAAGTATAGAAATTTTCAAAGTGATTAATTTTAGTGATTTGTGCTAGCTGCTTTATTTTGTACATGTAAAATTTGTGTTGACAAAATTTTGTGGATAATCATAAAAGGCATCATCACTGAGGTCATGTGATATAATAATTATTGCACGTGGACTCTCATTGTTTTCTATTTTGTTTCTCTGGGTCTTTAGCTACAACAGCTGCTTGTGATTTCTCCTCTGGTTTGTCTTTTTCACTATCTTCCTCATTTTTGTCCACACACTTGAAGAACTTGTGCAGTGCCATTTTTATTAACAAATATAATTGAATGTGTGGGTGTTCTGTTCATAAAGGGTTAAAGTATTAATTATTTGTAGTTAGATGATACTGGCGAAAACATTGGAAATTAATATACCTTAAAAATTTCATATTTCGTAGGTGTGTAAGTGTGCATGCATAATCAACCTGGGTAGGCTAGGTCTGTGGTTTGTGTATGCTTGTTGTTTATGTTTTAGTGAAAAGTACAGAATTTTTTGGCTTTTTAGTTAGCAAGTATCATTCTGACTTTACGAGTGTTGACACTAGCATGCTAAATGTAAATGTACTTTCTATTGGTACCAACACTTGTGCTCAATCTAGCATGGAATTATGTGAACATTTCCAACCTTTCTGGCTCAGAAGCTCATTATCATATGTTGACTGTACCATTCAGCCAATTGTGT